CTCAGTCGCCATAGCCAGTTTGAAGAGAACTCTTATGTGGATACGATATCTTGAGTACTGAGTGGGCGCCTGTCGCCAATTTGCTGTTTCGCTGTTTGCATACATGACAAGTTGAATAATCGTAGTGTGATTTCAATATATATATATAACAATAAAAAAGAAAGAAAGGAAAGAAGGAAGGAAGGAAGAAAGAGGGAAAAAAAAAAAGATCTGGAAAGGACGTACCACATACAATGGCACTCAGAAGCCACAACTGAAAAATACAAGTGCGACTGACCCTGCCCGAAATTGGGGCGAGCTTAAACTGCCAGCAGGTGCCCCAGCCAACAGATGGGAACATCATTTTTCTTTACCATTTAGTATCTGTTGGAACTTGGAAGTCAGAGGACCTGTAGTACCTGCCCACCAAATTACAAGTGGATGCGATCATTCGAGTGGTTTCGGTAGAGGAGAATGTCATCCTTGGCCATCATCTTTCTTTATCTAAGACCTTTGCAAAACAGATTTTGTGTGTCAAGAAAATACTGTAACTTTGGATAGCCTACCGCCGCAATCGTCTGTACTATTCCTCTTTTCTCAATTTGCTTCCTCCTGTTGTCGTTGTTGTTGCTTGCTGGTTGTTGGTAAATATAGTTGTTGTCGGCTGTTTGCTCTCATTGGTGGTTGGTGGCGGTTGGTCGTCGGTGGTGGTTTTTTATTGTTAGTTGCTCGTCGGTTGATTGTTGGTTGTTCATCGTTTGGTGCTTGTTGTTGCTCCTTTGTTGTTTGATGTTATTGCTTGTTGTTTGTTGTTTGTTGTTTGTTGTTTGTTGTTTGTTCTTTGTTGTTGCTGTGGCCTTGGTGGTGGTCATGGGCATCATTGTTCGAATCCCCCTGATGAAGCTGCTGACTGGCAGCGGACGAAACTAGTAGGGGATGCCAGTCTACTCCGCTCTTCGTGCTGTGACGTTCTGCTTTGGCGAGGGAGGAGTTGTTCCGTAGCATGAGCATTGCTTGTGCCAGCGGTGGGGTCTCGGCTTTTCACTCTTTCTTCTTATGAGACTCATTTGAGATTTGTCTTTGGCATATACGCCGAGTTACGCTTTGTGTGAACAGTTATGCTGGCTCTGGAGTATGTCAACTGACCTGCTCTCGCTTTTATCACTATCACTCATCATTGTTGTTCTTGAGGTTGGTTGCCGCTGCTGGTGCTGCTGCTGTTTGTTGTTCGCTGTTGTTTTCCGAAGATTTTTTATTATTATTATTAATTTATTATTGCTTCCTGATTCTTGCCTTTTCTTCTTCCTGAGACTTTGGTTCTCATTTGAGGATTCTGGTTGCTGTCTGACGACGTGCTTTCCACACTACCACTATTTCGTTCACTGCATCTGACCTGAATTCTTCACACAATTCCACACCTGCTCATCATGCTGTGCAATGGACAACTGAGAATCTTTGTGGAAGGGATGGGATTTCTGTGAAGGGGTGTTGATTCACAAAAGAATGTATGCTTGCTCAAGTTCTAAGCAAGAAACGGAGGGGCAGGCTGGCAAATGGTCCACCAACCCTGGGCCCATGGCTTTGTCGTCCTCTCCCATTCTAAGTCCATCAGTTCCAGAACTGTTTCTTGGAAATCGAAACTATGAAGCAGTGGCATTGTGAATGTCCCAGCTGCGGATGAGGTAGAGTTCATGCCTGTCAGTGGCCGTAGTACACGGTTTGCCGCTTTCTCTGATGATGATACCTTACGCAGGAGGCCCGGTTCTTCTACTCTTGGGGTCTCTTCTTCCTCTGCTGCCAACCTTGGAGAAAACAGCAATGAATCTTGTGGTGGCAGAGAAAACTCAGTAGCTGAACAGCGTCCGTCAGACGTATTCCTCTTCAATTGAGCAAGGTTCAAAGCATCTGATCCCAAACTCCACTTGACATCCCAGCAGCTCTGCACATCAGGGTTCTTACTAGCAGCAGGTCTTGCATCTGATTCAGCTTTGCAGTCTGCAACTAAGCTGCGCCCTTTCCCCCATCGAGCTGCTGAAGGAGGTCCATATGAGAGCTGGGAAGCTGCCGGCGACAGTGGCATGGCGGATTGCAAGTGCTCCATCTCTGACGCTATTTGACTCTGCAAAATTGCGGTATCGTCAGCGTTTAACTTAAAAGATTCTGACTTGCCAGCCGCCGACCGCTGATAGTCGACTGGCTTGCACGACGACCGAGGACACTCATGCTTCCTGGCAGTGGATGGCTTGGAGGCATCACTGAACTTGGTTGCGGACAAGGGAAGTGTGGCCAGGTTCATTCCGGCGAGGGATCCAGTCACAAAGGAAGTGTGACCGCATTCGTTCCTGCATGGGATCCGGTCACTGACCTCAGTATCTTGGGCGACGTCTTGGGTGTTGAGATTGGCTTTCATCTCCGTTTGCCGCATCCGTTTCCCATTGGGTTGTCCGTAGAACGACGAGAAGCCCATCATGACCTGCGCAAACATGTGCCTGAGTTGGCGTTTGGTAGGAAGCTTCCACACTCCAGCATTCCCAAAGGTATCCACCATGATGCCGTCGGCACTGATATTCTGATCTCCCATCGCTGCCCCTCTTGGTCGCTTGTTCTAGTGTCCTACTGTTATTCGTTGCTGCATTAGAAAGGCGTGGACATCGTGCCTCAACTCTGCAGAGGAGGTATCAATGTATGGTGGTCGAGAAACAGTCGTTGCACAATCGACCGAATTAGAGTATCCGAGGACGAAGTGGTCCACGAGGTATCGATCGAAGTACGGCTGTCTTATCGTCCTCTCATCGTCAATAAAGAATGCTCTTTGCCAGCCTTGAACTATGGATCTGTGGCCTATTCTACTCGTTGGCCGAAAGCGCGTGTCGCTCGTGGTGTGGGGTCTGCCTGCTAACCATTCACTGAAAGTCCTCTGGCAAAATTGATAACTGCTTCCTCTTTTTCTGTAAAGGATCTCCCATACCTGCAAAACCTGCTTGACATTCGTGTCGACGGGGCAACAAGCACAGATGACGTCCTCGGTCAATGGCTCAAATGCCACTGAAGCGATTTCCAGAAGCCATGAAGCTGGTTGCTGAGCCCACATACGATCGAAAAGATGGCTGTACAGCTCCGGAAGTCTAGTTGGAAGGGTGACGCTTGGTGGTGGTCCATATATGCCAAACATCTGGGAATAGTTTGCCAGGAAATCCAAAGCAATGGATGCATACGCCAAGTTGCCCCCGCTAGCTTGAACCACAGCTTCTTTCGTTGCCGCAAAACTGCTGCGCCCGTACGTTCCGAGTTTTGGACAAATAACAGAAACAGAGAGTCAATTTCCCTATTGAAAAAAAAAAAAAGAAAAACAGAGAAAGAGAAGGGCTTTGAAAAAAAAAAAAAGAAAGAAAGAAAAAAGAAAGAAAGATTCAATCAAGTTGCCCCCGGCCAGCCGGTTCAAGCACAAATCAGCAGGTAATTTCACTGAACAAGGATGGGACTGCAACAACTTCAAGATAGCTCAAGGCTGACAATGGCCCGTTTGGACAACAGCAGCAACGACGTGGGACCAGTGTTCGTACGGTCTGAGCATACAGACAGACTTCAGACCCACTGATCGAAGGAAAGGACATGTGGGCGACTGCTTCAGAAGGCTGTGTAGTTCTACATGCCAGAATTTCTGTATGTAGATGAGCCCGACAGTCTGCTGGTGTCACAAATGCATGTTGCATCCTCTAGCTGCAGTCTTAGTACCCGACCATACCATTACTTACCTTAGGCTATAAGACAGGTTAGCAATACAGAGTATTGTGTAGGTCATGCTGACCGCACCCCTTTCTGAGTAAGTGAACTCGGTAGTTAACTGGCATCTTAATGACTGCCACTACAAATGTGTGTCCCTTTCTGAGTAAGTGAACTCGGTAGTTTACTGGCATCTTAATGACTGTCACTACAAATGCATGTCGGCCTTCCTACCAGCAGTTGTGACACTGGGCCTTGCCATCTCTCACCAATGGCTGTTTAATAGGCATGCCGCTCAGGCCACTGCGTACTTCTACTTGCCGAACTTCATTCAGAATAGGTATGCCCGGTAACTTGGTAGCTTACTAGCCTGCGGTTGGCATAACTGTATGATTGGTCACAAGAGCAAGTGGAATGTTCAGGGACGCTGGACCTGATTTCCAGCAGGTGATGCTCCCCACCAATAGATGGAGCCTCCTGGGCGGTTAAAAAAAAAAGAAAAAAAAAAAAGAAAGAGAAGGCTTTCCCTGATGGAGCCTTGAATTTGATGCATCACATGCACCATCAGATTCCTCACCTTTTTTTTTTTTTTTGTTAGTAACAGGTCCTTATGGTCCTGGCTCCATAACCATTCTGGTGAGCGTCAGTCTGGTTCCTTTCCACCGGCAAGTCAAGATCACCTCCCTACAGTGGCAGATCGCACACCGATGTCTGCCAACAATGGATTGGTTGATCAATCACACAAGCGTGGAACACAAAGGCCAAGCTCTCCCCTGGTGTAAACGGTGCCTGAGAACCTTTCCTCCACGGAAAAGTGCAGAAACGATTGAACATGTTTTTATGCAATGCCGAACTGCACAACTCACATGGCGTTGGTGGGACAGAATCTGGAGAAAGATGGTCCCTGACTCCATGGCCCTGGGCCTGGAGGGCGATACTGTTGGGATATTGGCCCCAGGCCCAAGAGGCATCCACGTACACAGAAAATATGTTCAATCTGGGCCGTAGAGCGGTGCTTTGGGGGCTTTGGGGGCAACGTTGCCTCCTGGCCAGAGAAAATGTACAGATAGAAGGCCCTGAGGTAGCAGAGCAGATCAAACAACAATTCCAGCTAGAACTAATGAGAAGGTGGCAAATTGGGAGCTGGACTGTTTTCAGATTAATAAAGACATAAGGAAGGCAATCTCGTCCTTCCAGGGGGACTGGCTAGGGGGGAAAGGAGGAGGATGGGTAGCGAAGATTTAGTGGGGCGGCAATAAGGAAGATCAACAGCACCTGGAGTTGGTAGAATGCAGAGATTACCGTTTGAGTTTCAACGAGTGGACAACCATCGAACCATCCTTCCCCCTCCGCCCCCCGTCAGACTTCCCAGATTCTTTCCCTCCACATCCGCTCTCTCTGATTGAAGCAATTAACTGAAGAGTGGACAGACACGCTCCATGGGTGTGCATGCAGACACCTAGACACTTGGTGTGACGGAATTTCAACCCCGACTCACTCTACTTCTCCTGATGGTCAAAGGAAAAGGGTGACGAAAGGAGGTTCCACTGGTGCCCCCCAGTGGCCCCTCCCGGATCACCCGGTCTCCAGCTAGCAAGGTCTCAACAAATTTCAAGGGGAGGAACCAGTGCGTAGCTGTGTATTTGGCGCCTGATCCAGGGTGAAGAGCCCCCCCCCCCCCCAATACTGCGCAGTCAATCCCCTGGATCCCAGGGTAATCAATGCTGGCAGGAACAACCCTATAATTGTGTGATAGATGTATCTCAGATGTAGCTCAGATGTATCTCAATCTCAGTCTGTATAAGGGACGCTAGACCCGTTTTCCAGCAGGTGATGCTCCCCACCAATAGACGGAGCCTCTCCATAGGTGAAAAAAAAAATTAAAAAAAAATGGAATACTCCTCACCAATTTTCTGTTTCGGTCACCCACCAATTCGTTAAGGAGCGCAAGTGCACACATGGCGGTGTTTGAGAGCTCGCCTGGGGAGCAGCACGTGCTGGGAACCGGGCCCAGCGTCCCATATGGAAAATTACATCGAATTTTGAAAATTTGAGATACCGGGGCCATTACGCGGCTTTGGTTAAGAAAAAAATTGAGCTACTTGGGAGAATACGACAAACTTCAGAATTGGACACGATTCAGAAACCGACTCAGAAGCCCCCCATCAATCCTCTTTACCTCTCTCCGGCAAGACTTACTGCAACAGAGCCACCATCTCTGTTGCTGCTGTACCCTATTTCCATCCTACCAGGATTAAATAGCAATAGAGTCAAAACTAGACAACCAGCTTGATCACCCCTCCTGGGAGGAATCGTTTCCGTAAGGATTCGAACTCGGGTCTGTTTTCAACCGAATGCCCTGGTGGACTTAACAGTGGTTTGGAAGGCAATAACCACAGGGAAAGAGCAGAAGCACAGAGCGTCAGAGATACTACTTCGCAGATACCTCCGGGTGTAATGTACAGCATTCCCAGCCTCTGATCAATGTTTGAAATGGAAATTGGAATTGTGAGAAGGTATAAAAAAGAGGTACTACTTCCAAGATGGCAGCCAGCATACAGGCTGAAGAGGCGGAAGCAGCAGCAAGACAACAACAAACACAAAGGGGGGGTCTCAGGCATTATAAGTCAATTAAGTCAGTTATCTTCAGTACCTAAGGATTGTGTCATGCATCTGGAGATTGTGCTAAATGTGATGGAGACTGGACCCGATTTCCAGCAGGTGCAGCTCCCCACCAAAGGATTGGAGCCCTCTACCTGTGGATAGTGCTGGAGGATGCTCATATCACCCCTAGCACCATACCCCAGCGGAGTTGAAAAGAAATAAAAAGTAAAACCGTTTGTTTTCAACCAAATGTTGATGGGTACCTTGCGGCATTAGCTCAGTTGGTAAGGCATGCAAATGGCATTCAGGAGGGGTCTTGAGATGAATCACCATTGGCCTCATGTAACTTCCTGGGAATGCTTGGCACCCGCCACCTAGAGATAGTCCACCGGTACCCCTGATTGGTACTGAGCAGAGACTGCTGATGTTCGTAGGGGGGGACCAGAGGGGAGGCACTGCGACTGGCCCATCGAAGAAGCTTGGTCCTGATGCTACTGGCTGACCCCTGGCCGATGTTGCCCACTTGCAGGTCGTGCGCAGCCCCTGCGTGTTCCCTTGTTGGAGGCTTGAACATGGGTTGGCTGCTGCGGGGTTCCCCATAATAACACTATAATGATAATAAAAGCCTGAAAGCCCCTCCCCCCCTGTCAGATACGACAGCTGATTGAATCGCTTGGGCTAACCTTAACAAGAAAATGAGAAAGAAACATTTATGGGTCTACCATTCAGCCACATGGGCTGGACACAGTCAATGCATGCTGTTTTCATGAAACAGTTTCTCTCCTTCTTCCTCCACCAGTCTTTCCCCCCCCCTATTCTCTTTCTGTACAATCCAAGGACTTGACAGTAGATGTACGGTACCGGGAAGGATGGAACCATCTGTGATCTTCCACAGCATATGGCGAGGTGGCTTATTGAATGCTACTACCGCCGGCGGATCTCGAATGGAGAAATACCAATGAAATAGAATTTGTTCCGATCGGAGAAATACCAATGAAATAGAATTTGCGTGTCTATTTACACCGCTTGGATTGCTTTCGACCTTTCTGGTGCCTCCTATCTTTGTTGCCTGTGTGCCTCAGACACGCTGGAGGAAGGGGAGGCTGTCGGGGTGATTAGGATAGTCTTCATGAGATCTTGGGCATGGTTGTAGCCCTGCTCCTGTGTTCCTGCACGAATCTAGTGGAGGTCGGTTGGGCAGTGCAGGCAGAAAGTGAGGAGCATCTTCTCATGCAGAGTGGGAGGTTACAAGCTGGAGCGTCAAAAAGAGCTGGCAGTTTCATGTGTTCTTTTGAGCTGTTTCAACGGTTAAAGACACGGAAGCAGGTAGCGGCACAATTCGTCATCATCAGGGTGCTGCTCGTCATCACCATCATCATCA